TTGCGCGCGCACACTCACTCCCTCCCTCTCCCCCTGCATCACTGACTAAGCCAGCATTTATTGCCCATCCCTAATCGCCCAGAGGACAGTTAAGAGTCAACGACATTGCTGTGGGTCTGGAGTCACATGTAGGCCAGACCTGGTAACAATGGCAGTTTCCTTCCCTAAAGGACATTACTGAACCAGATGGGTTTTCCTGACAATCAGCAACGGATTCACAATCATTAGACTCTTAATTCCAGATATTTTATTGAATTCAAATTCCACCATACTGATAAAACCTTTAGTTATCTCAGGGCAGTGACTTGAAAGAAATTCTGGGATTTGCGTATTATTCAATTGAAACCTGTATCTCCTTTCCGACAGCCATCTTAGGTTTGTTTATTTTGTGGCTACTGTTTGGCCAGGTATTCAGCTCCCAAACCCTAAGCTGCACCCCCATAACAATTCTGTCTCTTCACCTTGGCTTCCTCTGCATTCTGTTCAAAGTTTAAAATGATTACAATAACCACAGAGCACAAGATCAAGGATATGACTTTGACTTTGCAAAATTCACTAGTTTGGCCCCAGTTGGAGTATTGCAGTTATTTCTGGGTGCTGCACTCTCAGAAGCAGGTGAAGGCATTGGAGCAGGTGAAGATGAGGTCTACAACAATGTTTCCAAGGACAAGGAATGTCAGCCATGAAGACAGATTGGGACTGTTTCCCTTGGAGGTGGTGGTCAGGAAATTTGATGGAGGTGCTCAAAATCTAAGGGTCCTGAACTGACCAGGTAGGGAGAACCTGTTTCCACTTGTAAAATAATCAATATTGAGGAGTCACACATTTAAAAACAGTTGGCAAAAGCAGCAAATGGTACAGGAGAGAAAACATTTCCATGCAGCACATGGGTGGAATCTGGAATGAGCTACCCAAGACTGTAGCCAAGCTAAGCTTAATTGAGACACTTGAAAGGGAATTGGACTGTTATTTGCAAAGGAAGAATGTGCAGGGTTACAGGGAGAATACACTTAAGTGATTTGTTCATTTGGAGAGCTAGAGCAGGCTTGATGGGTCAAATGGTTGCCTCCTGATGCTGCAACAAATTTGTGATTGAATTCTAACTGCTCATTTTTGTATTCCAAATTGCACTGTTCACCTTTTTCCCTTCTTCAACATAGCTTTTTAAAACACCTGCATGTTGCCTTTTTCTTGAATCTGATTACCCCACTCATCACCTCATGCTATGAAACAGTCAGCAAACAGCTCCCCTTCAAATAAATTTATTTGACCTTGTTGTGATTAGGTTAACATTGCTATGGCAACTACTGAGAGAGTTACAGCACAGGCTTTTCTGTAAACACACATTCAGGCGAGTCATCAGTTTTAACATGGTTTAGCCTGATTTCCACAGACCAATTAACTCACATAATGCACAGTATCCATTGTCTGCCCTCATAAATTACCCCCACCCTAAACCATGGTTTCAATGGGACTTAGTTCATGAGCACCTTGCCTGAGATTGGATTTAACCTGAGGGAGAGAACGAAAGCTCTAGTCCTCAGCAGCCACAGTTGCCCCAGTGCTGGCATCCCTTTGAAGAGAAATGGGCATTTTCTTTATGAAATTACAGAAAGGAGGGGGCTGCTTTCAGAGAACTGCCAGCTGTAAGAAATCAGGCCGAGTTTCAGAATTAACACTATTAACCCTTCCACGTCCTTTTCAGCATGCACAGGTTAAACATGCTATAAGCAGTTTTGTCTGACAATATTCCCCAAATAGGTCAGGTCAAAGTCACTCAACCTTACCAAGTTTTACTTCAGCATTTTCTGTCAGTAACACATTCTGTCCCTTGATGTCTCTGTGAATAACCTTATGTGCATGAAGATGTGTTAAGCCCTGCAGGAAAGACAAAGCAAGCACAAAAATGTTGAACATATCTCAGATATTCACCGTAAATTCACCCAATTAAGGGAAGAATGAAGAGAGGCAATTTAAACTAAATGGTTCAATTTTAAAGGATATGAAGGGAAGGGAGACCAAAGGAGATTTGCATACACTACTTTTGATAGAAGTGTCCAAGTTTATGACAGGTTTGGCTCAGATAAAGAATGGAAAGCCGCACACATCGATTGATGGCAGAAGGGCTAAAGGGGGATAAGATTTAAGATTTGGGTAAGAGATACAGAAGTTAAGGGGCAATGAGAGGCGTTTTTTGTTTAAAAAGCATTGGAAGATGATTCAGGAACTCGTTGCCTACGATAGAGGTCGGGGGCAGAGGGTTGGTGATGAAAGTGAAGATGGATTAAAAGGAAATGGTACAGGTACTTGAGGGCTATCAGTATAGAATGTGGGATATGGGCTGACTAGATTGCTTCGGAGGCAGTATCATCATCATTCTGAGCCACAATGGCTCTATGACCCGTTAGAAAATCTTTGAAGGTGGCAGGTCAAAGTGATGAAGTGATAAAAGGGATGAGCAAACAAAAACAACAGCTTCAAAAATACAGATGTTACAAAGCTGTGATAAATCTTTTCTAAATCACAATTGGGACTGCAGCTAGAGTCTGAAAGGTAAAATTTACATGGAAAGAGTGGAGAAGCTGGGACTGAACGCGGACATTATGGCCAGACATAGGGACACTGCACCAGAGATGCCGATTCCTAGTCTCCATTGCACTTAATCTCATGAATTCAAAATTGTTTTGCCACTTAACAGCAGAGATTGCGTGCAATGTTCGCACGTTCTGATTAGCGAGTTGAAAAGTGAGAGTTTAGAAGTCAGGAGACATTTTAATACTTTGGTACAGTCAAATTTCAAATCGCTTTCTGCATTCTGGCAGTCATTCAAGCAGTATCTCTGTTTAAAAAAACTAATTTCTCCCTTCCTTGTAATTTCTGGCTTTTTGTCAAAACTAGGACTCCTAATTGCCACAGTGATTGATTTTAATAAACAACTTGCCTAGTGGGACCTGTACACAAAATCTCCCACAAATTTAATCCACAAATGTCTTAAGGCATCAGGCTAAATTTAGAGATTGTCACTGCAGAAAATCGGGCATCTGCCCAAGAGCAAAGACTCACACAGCAATAAAAAGGAGTGGGAGGATAAAACAATTGAGTTACAATGGAAATTACAATAATATTGATAAAGAACTTGGAAGGTCTCTTTATATCTGACCCCAGGCACAAATTTGCAAAACATCCAATACTACCCGACCTGGGTTGCAGACTAGGGTGGAAGAATCAGAATTATCTTTGCAGGCTTGCAACCGCTCCTCGATGGATCATTTTCTTCACATGCTTATCCACGAGATGCAAGTAAAGTTGGCAAAGTACTGCAAAGCAAACATCTCCAACACTGATAACAGCAAAGTTGAAGAATTAAATGCAACGCACATCCCATCATCTGAAATGTTGCTGCAATCCTACATAAAAGTGCCCATGCTGTGATTTTCCAAAAAGTTCAGAGAGAGGGAGGGCAAGCTCACATTCTTGAGAGTTTCGTTGGTTGAAAACAAGCATCACAGTCAGGAACTGAAGACACACTGGACAGGATGAGCTACTCAAGATCAAGTCCGCGGATATGACAAAACTTGAGCCAAGGGTTTCCTCCTACTGTGCCAACATAATCATGCAGCAAACTTCAAGGGAAATGCATGTTCAAATCAGATGGATTAAACAGGCTTTTCACTTTGCACGTCTTTCAAGAAAAACTCAACTTGAACCCTTTTTTCTCATTCAAATCTCAAAAAAAATTTCCCTAAGATGATGAGGTTTTGGTGGTTTTGGAGTACATAGCATAGCGGGTTTCAGAAAATAGTATTTACCCTCAGTATCTCCCTACAGATGTAGGCGATCCACTCTTCTTTCAGTGCATTTCCTTTTGTGTTCTTGACCAAGTCTGTAACTGATCCAGCTCCACAGAATTCCATAACCAGCTAAGGAATGGAACAGAGCAGCAATAAGGACGGAAATTCAACTTCTTTTACAAAATCATACAAGATAATTCCAACTATAAACATATTATAGAAACCACAGCTTATTTCAAAACATTCACTAGGAACATTGCAGGGAGAAACACAACTTTAATAAATAAACTAAAAATATAAAATTCACACCCTTAAAATGCTCATTGCATCTTACACAGTTTCAATAACACACTACATATGCATCTGCTTCACAGCAATAGAATTGGCATCATGGAATTATACAGCCACTGGTGTACAGGGACCCTGGTCAGGGAAAATATGCTAGTGCACAAACAAAATTATGATCAGCACCCTTTTTTTTTTTACGAAGTTTGTTCATGCAATATGAAAACCTCTGGTTAGGTCAGCATTTCCTGCCAATCCCCAATTGTCCAGCAGATTGTCCCACAGTCAACCATATTGCTGTGGGTCTGGAGTCACACATAGGCCATACCTGGCTAAGGACCACAGATTTCCTTCTTTAAAAAAGGGCATTAGAGAGTCAGATAGGTTTATGTGAGAAATGGACATGATGAGGTAGTAGCATAGTGATATTATCACCGGATTAACAACCCAGAGCAATGTTATGAATTTCACCACAAAAGATGGGGAAATTGGACAATCTGGAATAAAAGGCTAGTCTGATGGTAATCATGTAGCCACTGCTGATTGTCATTAAAAAAAACATTTGGTTCACTAATGTCCTTTAAGGAAGGATATCTGCCATTCTTACATGGTCTAGCCCTATATGTGACTCCAAACCTACAATGTGGTTGACTGTTAACTGCCCTCAGAACAATAAATGCTGGCCAAGTTAGCAACGCCCACATCCCACGCACAAATACAAACAATAACAAACACTTTCAAGCATTGAAGCTGGCTTTTTCTTCTAGATATTTACTAAATTCAAATGTCACCATTTACCAAAGTGAGATTTGAACGCATGACAGCATACCTTCAGTTTGGGGCTCCGGATAGAATAGGGGACTTAATGGTGAAAAGGTGAAAACAACAGAGGTCCAAAGAGACTTGGGGACCCAGGTACACAGGATATTGAAAGTCCAGAAAATGATCAAAAAAGCCAACAGAATTCAGGTCTTTATATCTAAAGGAACATAATATAAGAGGCAGTGGCGCTCTGGAGTAATTCATGCTTCAATTATAACACACCAGGCTGGAGTTACAGTGAGCAATTCCACACCTTAGGGAGGATACACTGACCCTGGAGGAAATGCTGTGCAGATTTAACATAAGGATACCTGCCTCCGAGGGTTACACAGAAGAATTTATAACGCTCAAGGGATAAATGAGTTAACAATATATTTTCAAGCTAGTATGTGGGACTGATAAGCTAGACAGTAAGAGACCATTGCCAATGGTCACAGAGTCTAGAACTAGAAAGTATGGCTTAAAAATTAAAGACACACCTTTCAGGAGTGAAATTAGGAAACATTTCTATGCATGAAAGTTGGTTGAGGTTTGTAATTCTCTTCTGTTAACAACTGATGTTCATTCAATTTTAATTCTAAATGACAGATTAATGGTCATGAAGGATATAGTGCAAAGGTAGGTCTGAGGAGTGAGGTCACAGATCAGCCATAATCTCCTTAAATGAAGGATCAAACCCATGGATTGAAGTAGTCTACTCCTGTAAGTCCAACTGTACTGCAGTTGATAACAAGCAGTGGATATATTAGAACTGCCAACAGAAGACCAAATCAGAGCAGGATGAGGTTAAACAGAACTGCACTTTGCACAGAAGCAGCCATTCAGCCCATTCCCGCCCCAGACAAACATCGTCCCACCCTATCTATATTTTCTTCCATTTCTTCTGCCCAAACTGTCCCTGGAATGAGTCCAAGCTGTTCACTTCAATGTATCATATATGATGGCGGCAGCAGCAGCAGGGTAGGCAGCATTCTGGCTCCTGAACCCGTCCACTCCTCAGCACCAGGCCAGCCACATCTTTCTTTCTCCTTTTCTTTTACAACTTTTTCCTCTTTTCGGCAGCATCAGTGGAATCAGGTGGTCAGCAGCAAGAGTAGGCGGCTCACGGTGGTAGCAAGGACAGGCTGCAAGGCGGAGACAGAACAAGCAGCTTGGGGCAGCGGTGGGGAACGCAAGGTCGAACCCAAAGCAGGGAAGGTCAAGCCTTTGTGAGATGAGCAAGTCCAACATGGCAAGGCACTTTATAGACTGTGGTGTTGAACTGTTAACTGTGTTTCTTTGTTTTTCTACTTTTTAGTAAGAAGGACTGTAATATTTAACGTGTTAAACTTGTTTTTCTTATTTTTCTGCTTTGTAACTAAGATGCTGTGCCTAAGTACCTTTGTACCTAAGGTGGCATCGTAAGTGGCAACTTGCAATCTTTTCACTGTACAATTGTGAGCATGTGACAATAAATCTAATTCAATTTAATATCATGAGGTTAACAAGCCGACATTCTAATCAGCCATCGTGTCAGATATTTTCGATCAATTCCCCAGAGGATTTATTGCCACGGTGCAGTAACGGTGACCACAAAACTACAACCAATTGTCCTAAAAACCCATCTGTTCACGGATACCCTTTAAGGAATGAAATCTGCCATCCTTTACTGGGTCTGGCCTATGCGTGATTCCAGGTTCACACCAATGGGATTGATTCTCAAGTACCTCTAAAATGGCCAAGTAAGTCACTCAGCTCAAAGTCAATTAGGAATTGTCAGCAAATGTTAGCTTTGCCAGTGACACTCACATCCCATGAAAGCACTAAACAAATCACAGGCAAAGAAGGAGCAAAATACATGAGCTGGACAAATGCACAAGGATGCAATGATACTTTGCATCAATCATACTCGCAGAATGGTAATAATGGCAATGAACGTATCTATTCTCAGGTTGTGGGATATTGCTGACAAACCTACAGCTTATTGTTCATCCTCAACCCCCCTGGGGTTGGTTGATGACAACAACCAAGCAACTTTCGGGCAGTGAAGAAATTCACATTGCTGTGTGGTTGGAGACATATATAGGAGGACATGGCAAAGACAGGGAGGTGTTTTTCCCTAAAAGGGAATGGGCGAACCAGATAAATTATTTCAAAAGATGATCAGAGTGACCACTATCGGCTTTTTATTTGACATTATTAACTGGGTTTGAACACCACCAGAGATTGGCCTCTGGATCTTTAGTCTAGGCCCAGTGACATAATCACAGGGCTGCTACTTCAGTCTAATATCAACAGCAACAACAAAAACAATAACCTAGCTAGATTTTATCCAATCTTGCTATTACACCAAATTGAATAAAGGGGCCATGTGCTTCTGAAAATTATCCGTCATTATTTTTACACAATGGCAGCACTTAACTACAGCAAACACCAACATTTGCTCACCCAAAGTTGGTCATCGTGGCCTGGAGGACTCTTCTTGATGAAGGCGCCATAGTACGTTGCAATATTTCTATGATGCGAGTACTTCTTAAGCATGTTAATTTCTTGTTTGATCTCCTCCTCTTCATCCTGAATACAAAAATAAGCAAACTTCATGCATTACATATTTAAAAACCAGAAAGCATTCTAATATTCTTAATGCTGATTGATTAATGCAGTAAATTAAAAACAATGTTGAATAAAAACCAAAAGAACTACGGATGCTGTAAATCAGGAACAAAAACAAAGTTGCTGGAAAAGCTCAGCAGGTCTGGCAGCATCTGTGGAAGAGAAAACAGAGTTAACGTTCGGGTCCGGTGACCCTTCCTCAGAACAAAAACAATGTTGAATTTATCACCCGACTATAAACAATGCATCACTTCCTAAAAGTGGAATTTCATGTTTCTGTTTGAGAACCCCTCTGGCACTTTGGGCAGCCTGAACAATCACAGGCAGAAAGAAGTCAAGCAGATCAAGCTTCAAACAGAAGCTGAAGATTTAGCAAAATACTTTGCTTGTTCTACCAGTTACTGCACAGAAATTATAATCCACCGATATTGGCAACTTTCACCGGACTGCAATACCAAGTTAACTCAATTTGCACAAGCTGAGAAAGTAACATCAGAACAAATGCACTGTTCAAATGAAAACTGAGAGAATATTGTCTTTGTAACTGCTTCAGCTTCCAGCATGCTGACAACCATCTTCATTTGTGCAAGGTTTGACTCCAGTTAATGGAGTTTTTAAACTCCACTTTTTATTCTGTTCAGACTCGTTGATGCCATACTGTCAAAATATAGACATGAGGCTAACTGCAAAGGTGAGGTGAGTGTGCTAGGCCTTGAGGTCAAGGCAACATTGACAAAGGCTATAAGGCATAGGATGCATAATGAGCATTGAGGAGCAGACTCGCAGCAGGTGTTGCACTGTTAACTACACCATGCTGATGGCAGAGTAGTCTGCTGGAGTGATACTTAGCTGGATTGAATCTGTCCAGCTTTTGGTGGACAGGACTTACCTGTCCAATTTTCCACATTGTCAGATTTATGTCCTTAATACTGACATCTTCGAACAGCTTAACTTCAAAAAGATTTAATAATACATCCAAAATATTTTCAGGCCTTTACTGTATCCGGCATGTTCAACCATTTTGTGATATAAAGTGGGTAAATTAAAGTAGCTGAAGGCTGGTAATTGTGACACTGAGACTCAAGAGAAGGCCAAGATGGATAATTCACTTGATACTTTTGGCTGGAATCACAGAATCCTTACAGTGTGGCAGCAGGCTATTCGCCCCATCGAGACCACGTCATCCCTCCAAACAGCATCCCACCCCTCTACCCTATTCCCGTAACACAGTATTTCCCATGGCTAACAGATCTAATCTACACATCCCTGGATACTATGGGCAATTTAGCATGGCCAATCCATGATATTATATGCTTTAGCCTAATCTTTTGCATTTGTATGCTGGGCTGCCCCACTCACCGAGGATGGAAATGTTCATGGAGTCTCCTCCTTCAATTCGTCATTCAATTACCTTTTACTGCTACCTTCAGTTTTATGTGCTGGACAAAAACAACCTAACTATACTAATCCCATTTTCAAGCATTTGGCCCATAGCCTCGCATGCCTTAGCTTCGCAAATGCATATCTAAACACTTCTTAAATGTTATCAGAGTTTCTGACTTGCCTCATCGCCTATAGAACTGGTAAAGTCTCTCGAGGCAGAATTCCTGTCTGAGATGGTGGGTGAATGGGCATGTATGCATTTTCAACTATACTCAAGGTCTCCACAACCAAATGTCTACATTTCAGGTTTTTGATACTAACAGTTATTGGAATTTTAATCTGGTAGAATTTATTCACCAGGAAGACAGCAGTTGGAAGAAAGGTCTTGCCAGATCATTAGAATATCAACATTCAAATCAGTACAACCAGTGAATAAAAAACACAGCATAAAATTGGGATGGAGTTCTTCAGGGTTTCAGACAGATACTGCTCCAGAGATTGGGGAGCTTGTGGTGTGCACATGTGTGGGGTAGGTGCGGTGCGTGTGCATCATACATGTGGTATCTGTGCACACACCGTGTTGTGATTGTGATTTCAGAGCTCATCCGAAAATTACTTTGTGTCAAACATACAGGTCCCATGAGGAAGTCATTGGAATCTTCTTTCGAATCATGACTAAGAATGGATACAAACTATTGAAGTGTGCCAGTGTGGATTTGCAAAAGTCACTTCCTGTGGCTCAAGGTCAACTTTTGAGGAGGTGACTAACACAGTAGATAACCATTAATGTTGATTGTAAAGTTTTTCAATAAAGGTTCCACAAGAGGAGACAGTCAACCAAAAGGAGCATGCAGAGCATTGGAGGATGCAAGATATTGGTGATGAGGAAAGGAATGGAAAGTAGCAAGAATGCACATGCATTCAAAACAGTCAGGATCTGAATGGTGTCACTTGGGATCCATACCGGGGCTCAGCTTTTAGCTAAGTTTAGAAATGATGCAGATGATGGAACAGAGAAGTGGCTATATGAGTCTGCTGATACCGCCATGTGAGGATGCAAAGTCAACAGTGCAGATGGATGCTGTAAGTTGCAAAACAACGTTGATGGATTTAAATGAGGCAGACAGTGATCAGCAAGGTCAAGTGAGAGGTACATCATTCATCATGTCTTCTAAATGAGAGTTGAAGAAGTGCAAAGAATTGGACAGAAATCACTAAAAGCTAGTGGTCAAAGATGGAAACAAAATGATTAAGTCTAATGGAGTGCTGACCTTTAAGTCAAGTGGGCAGGCCACAGAAGCATGATATGCTTGTTATACAAGGCTCCAATTGGACTTTATTCAGAATACATGTGATTTTGAGCACTGCTCCTTCTGCAGCTCAAGAAGAATCCACAAATCAGACAGGTATTGCAATCTGTGGCACATTGCAACTTGAGTTGGAAACAAGAATATAAAGAGGGTTAAAACACGAAACTGTCACATGGATTATTTTGACACCTTCAGCATTTTGTGCAAACTGTCTGAATCAAAATCAATGAAAGTAACATACTAAAACTGAAGTATCATGAACACTTTCCAAATTGCAAAGTACTCTCAGTGCTGAATGATTGTATTCAAAACAACGGGTATTTCTGGTTCTGTAATAGCCACAAGGATCATTTTTCAAACATTTTTGCTATAATTGGCACAGCTATACCCAAAGGCTGCAAAATAGGTTGCAAAGTATGGCATTCAGCAGGATCAAAACAAAGTACTTTTTAACCCATGGTCATCAACAAAATCTACTTTGCAGATATATTCTTGACTCTGACAGCTTCTTGCAGACAATTCTGCACAATTTCTTTCTTAAAATCTCATCAATATAGCCATTTCCATACCTCAAGCACCTGCAGTCATTAAAAGAAGCAGTTTTTGATAGCACTGAGCAAATGGCAAACATGCACAATGGTTCACTGATATACACCCACTCCCAACATGTGGGTGTTAAGTGGAGACCAGAATTTTATTTTAAAAAGCAAATAATACTGTCAATCTACAAAAAGGTTCACTTCAACTTTCAAGTCAGTACTTCATTTAATTTTAAAACAATTAGCTGCCATTAACTGTTGTAGCTGCTCAAAAGTCTGCCCTGCAAGTCTCAGGAACATGTTTGTTTAACAGAGGGCAAACACAATGCCCAACTGCAGAACACAGAATTAGTTAAAAGTACAGCCGTGATTACCACAATGAACAAGACAGATGATGCAAAAGTGGATGAATACAATGGGCTGACCTCGAGGGTGCGTACATATGAATCATGCATTTCAATGTTCAGATGCTTTTTAGAATTTTTCTACTTTCCACAAGACACAGAAACCAAAGGGCTACTTGATCAATATATAAAATTGCTTCTTGACCCATTTGTTAACTTAAGAATCATAGGGCTGTACAACATGGAAACGGATCCCATCAGTCCAACTCGTCTATCCCAACCAGATCCTATATAAATCTAGTCCCATTTGCCAGCATTTGGCCCATATCCCTCTAAACCCTTCCTATTCATATACCCATCCAGATGCCTTTTAAATGTGGTCAATGTACCAGCCTCCACCACTTCCTCTGGCAGCTCATTCCATACACGCACCATCCTCCACGTGAAAACGTCGCCCCTTAGGTCCCTTTTAAATCTTTCCCCTCTCACCTTAAACCTATGTCCTCTAGTTTTGGACTCAGTTATCCCAGGGAAAAGAGCTTATCTTTCACTCTATCCATGCCCCTCATGAATTTATAAACCTCTTACAAGGTCACCCTTCAGCCTCTGACGCTGCAGGGAAAATAGGCCCAGCCTATTCTGCCTCTCCCTGTAGCTCAAACCCTCCAACCATGGCAACATCCTTGTAAATCTTTTCGGAAGCTTTTCAAGTTTCACAATATCCTTCCTATAGCAGGGAGGCCATAACTGGAATGCAGTATTCCAAAACAGGCCTAACCAATGTCCAGTACAGCCATAACACGACCTCCCAACTCCTATACTCAATGCACTGACCAATAAAAGCAAGCATACCAAACGCCTCCTGCACTATCCTGTTTACCTACACTTTCAAGGAACTATGAACCTGCACTCCAAGGTTTCTTCGTTCAGTGACACCCCCCATTAAGTGCATAAGTCCTGCCCTGGTTTGCCTTTCCAAAATGCAGCACCTCACACTTATCTAAATTAAGCTCCATCTGCCCCTCCTCAGCCGATTGGCCCACCTGATCAAGATCCCGTTGTACTCGGAGGTAACCTTCTTTACTCCAAATTTGGTGCCATCTACAAGCTTACTAACCATATGTTCACATCCAAATCATTTACATAAATGATGAAAAACAATGAATCCAGAACCAATCCTTGTGGCACACCACTGGTCACAGGCTTCCAGTTTGAAAAGCAACCCTCAACCACCACCCAGTCTTCTACCTTTGAGCCAATTCTGTATCCAAATAGCTAGTTCTCCCTGTATTCTGTGTAATCTAACCTTACTAACCAGTCTACCATGAGGAAACCTGTCAAACACCTTACTCAAATGCATATAGATCACATCCACTCCTCTGCCT